ACACACAAACCCTGCAAATTACGAAGTTTCCACAAACTTCTTGGAAGAGCCCCAACCAAATTGTTTGTGGTCAAAGTGATACTGATAATGTAGCTATTGGTTTGATCACATGTGATTCCATACCAAAGGCAGTGTGATACCGAGTTGTTCCCCCAGTGAGTACTTTTCTCCAATTGTGACCATCTGTTTGGTTGAATATTTCCATGAGTACAGCTCTTTCTTGTTGGGGCGTGAAGGTTGTTTCCAAAGTACTATTTGGAATCGGGATATCGTGCAAGCATCCATAGGCAAAAGTATCATCGTAATTCAGAGGAGTCAGTTTCTCTGTTTTCAAAACTAACAGTGAAACAAAAAAGAGAAGCAGACAAATATAAGTGATTTCAGGTCAAAGTCCGCAAGGATTCTGCTTTTCTATAACCTCAAGGGTTTTTCATGATGTGAATTATTGTGTCACGTTTTTCTTATTTGAAATTCATAATTGATTATATAACTCGTAAATCAAGATTCCTGGGTTTGATCAAGAAAATTCATGACTACTTCTAATTTAATCAATGTAATTTATGATCCATGATTTCACTTCAACTGATCATAATCAGAGCGAAAAAATCCTAGGAACATTTGAAAGGGAAAGAAGGATGAACTGAAAGTACAACGTGCATTGGTTACCTACTGCCTTCAAAAGTAACCTGAACAATAAGATTCAAGTAACCCAGTTTTCATGATGATCTTCTGCCAAACAAATATCGTCACACAGTTCAAGATTTTGAACCAAAGCGCCGATGAAATATTAAGGAGTGTGACTTCCGCCTTAAGAAATCGCCTACGTCTGTTGCGCCAGACAAAAATCCAGCCCCACACCCCGCTATTCTGGTCCCAGAGAATAATTAGTAAAAAATAAACCTTTGGTTTTCTCATCATTAGTAGTAAACGAAAAAGTGTGTATCAAGTGTGGTAAAACACTTTTATGAGTCGACTAAGCTTACTGGCTCGCTCTTACCACCGATGTCTCGTTTGTTCCGTCTTGTTCTGTAGTAGAGTGACCTTGATCCATACTTTGATAGCTTTTCTCCGAACGTAAGAGATCGGTAATGTTCGAAGCAAGCAAGGAGCGCCACAATCCTTAATAATACGGCTAGAAAGGAGTATTTTGATGAAAGCGTTTGTGCCATAATTCTCCTTCTCCTGAAAGAAACTGAAATGGGGCTGGTGTTTGGGAGGTTTTACGCGACCGAAGGACAATGCGATCAGCGGTTTCAGCGGTTAATTTGAAAACAAGCAAAATGGCGGAAGGGCTTCCTTATGTCGATCAAAGGGAAAACGAAAGTACGGAGAACAGGAAAGCTCCCATCTATGATCATCCAGTGTTCAGGGAAATATCACTGTCCAATGGAAAAATAAATAAGATGAAGAAGGATGAAGTCAAGAAGATACTTAAAGAGCGTGGGCTGGACACACGGTGAGTGAAATATCATCAGCTAAAA